ATAAAACAGTGAATTCTCAACAGAAGAAGCTCATATGGCTGAAATACATTTAAGGAATTGCTCAACATCCTTAATCATCAGGGAAATGAAAATCAAAATGACTCTGAGACACCATCTTACACCTGTCAGAATGCCTAACATCAAAAACACTGGAGATAGCTTATGTGAAGAGGATGTGGAGCAAGAGGAATATTCCTCCACTGTTGGTGGGAATGCAAACTGGTACACCTACTGTGGAGATCAGTATGGTGGTTTCTCAGAAAATTGGCAATCAATCTTCCTCAAAACCCAGCTATACCACTCTTGGGCATATACCCAAGGAATGCTCAATCATACCACAAAAACACATGGTCAACTATGTTCATAGCAGCAGCATTATTTATAATAGCCAGTACCTGGAAACAAGCTAGATGTCCCTCAACTCAAGAATGGATAAAGAAAATGTGGTACATATACACAATGGAATACTACTCAGCAGAGAAAAACAATGACATCATGAGGTTCACAGGCAAATGGATGGAACCAGAAAATATCGTCCTGAGTGAGGTAACCCAGACTCAGAAAGACAAACATGGTATGTACTCACTCATAAGTGGATGCTAGATGTAAAGCAAAGGATAGCCAGACTGCAACCCACAGCTCCTGGGAGGTTAGTTAGTAAGGAGGTCTGTAGGAATGACACACTCACTGCCCAGTGATGGAAATGGATGTGATCTACATGAGAAGACCAGGGGTGGGGGTGGGAGAGTAATGAAGGGCAAGAGTCAGAGGAAAGAGAGCTTAGGTTCTAGCTAGATCAGGAACAGAGTGGAAGGTCAAGGAAAGCAATACCATGACAAATGAAGGCACCATGCAAATAGAAAGAAACTGAGTGCTAGGGATGTTCCCCAGGAATCCACAATTATGATTCCACAATAGACTACTGGCAATGGTCAAGAGTTCCACTCCCTCCACTCATTCAGTTCCCTACACAGATACATCTACTCTGCTTCAGATTCACTCCCCTTGCCCCAGAAAAGAGCAGGCCACTGAAGGGCATCAATTGAACATGGCACAATATGATACTAAGTGCCTGAGCTGACCTAATCTGGAAATCAGAAGGCTGAATACCCTAACTGACATCATAGAACCCTCATCCAGTGACTGATGGAAGCAGATGCAGAGATCCATGACTGGGTCCCAGGCAGAGCTCCAGGAGTCCAATCGATAAGAGAGAGGAGGGATTATATGAGCAAGAGTAATCAAGACCATGATAGGAAAACCTACAGAGACAACTAGCCAAACTGGTGGCAACACATGAACTGTGGACCAATAGAGAGGAGCACCCAGGGTACTGGACTAGGACCTCTGGAAAAGTGAGACAGTTGTTAAGCTTAAAGTGTTTTGGGGGCCCCCAGGAAGTGGGACTGGGACCTGTCTCTAGTGCCTGAGCCAGCTCTTTGGAATCTAACGCCTATGGTGAGACACTTTTTCACATCCTTGGCATAGGGAGGAGGGGCTTAGACCTGCTCAGCTGAATGAGCCAGGCTCTGCTGACTCCCCATGGGAGATATTGCTTTGGAGGAGGTGGGAATGGGGGTGGATTGGGGGGAAGGCTGGGGAGTATGAGGAGGGAGGACAGGGGAATTTGTGACTGCTATGTAGTATGAATGGAAAATTTCTTAATTAAAATAAATAAATAAATAAATAAATAAGAGATATATTAATAGCTGGAGGCCCTTACTTAGCACCTTCAGGACTAGAAGGGACCCTTATAACTCATTGCATATATGTTAAAAATCTTTCAAGAGTTGAAAAAGTCTATACAATACAGGATATTACACATGTTTCCAGATAACATTTTGTGTTCAGATTTTGCAGAAGTGTTTCTAAGCTGATCTGTCCCAGTCTGGACTTTCAGTGAGGCTGGTGCCCTGAGCCCCTGCTTAGATAGCCCACAGTGGGACCCACTCTCCACTGAGACCTAGGCTTCACACACCCTATTCACCTCCCTTCCTGTCTTTCTTCTGGTGCCTGAGTCTGAGAAGAAGGGAGAGGGTGAGGAGGAATAGCAGTAGGAAATCGGCCACAGAAACCCTGATCACAGCATTTTGATATCTTTCCAGTGCTATGAGACAAAGGACATCATGAATGAGGAATTGTGAATGAGAATCTGCTGTGTGAGAATGAAGAAGCAATCATAGTCTTCATGGAGCTGCACTAGGTCCCCTGCATATATATTATGGTTGTTGGTTTGGTGTTTTGTGGCAACTTCTGACAGTAGTGATGAAGGTGTATCTGACACTTTTGCCTGCCTTTAGGATGCTCTTCTTTCTGTTGGGTGACCTCACCTAACGTTGATGTGACTGTCTATGCCTGATGTTATGGTATCATATTGTGCCATGTTCAATTGATGTCCCTCAGTGGCCTGCTCTTTTCTGGGTAGAGGTAGTGAATCTTAAGCAGAGTGGATGTGTGGGGGGACTTGAATGAGTGGAGGGAGGGGAAGCTGCAATTGGGATGCATTGTATGAGAGAACAATAACTTAATTAGATAGATAGATAGATGATAGATAGATAGGGGAAGGAAGGAAGGAAGGAAGAAAGAAAGAAAGAAAGAAAGAGAAAGAAAGAAAGAAAGAAAGAAAGAAAGAAAGAAAGAAAGAAAGAAAGGAAGGAAGGAAGGAAGGAAGGAAGGAAGGAGGAAGGAAGGAAGGAAGAAAGAAAGAAAGAAAGAAAGAAAGAAAGAAAGATAGATAGATAGATAGATAGATAGATAGATAGATAGATAGATAGAAAACCTATTGTGTGAATACCCCATGTTGGGTCTTTGTATTTGCTGTATCTCATTCTCATAGCCATGCAACAGAGGACCGTCTCTGAATACTTTCAATTTACCTGCCCTAGATCAGCCTGAAGGATGGTGCATAGCTGAGGATTGAGTCCAGGATATCTGTCCTCCCACTTTGTTCCCTACACCGAAGCTAAACCTCATGAACTGGAAAGAAAGATCCTGAATGTCCTGTCCTAGCCCTGGACCACACCTCAACACAATGTCTTTAACACAGTGGTAGATGGGGCAGAACCATTGTGGAACAGGGTTCTAGAATCTTTCTCTATAAGTATGTGAAACAGATGAGATCATAATTAAAAGGAACTTAATGTCTTTGCCAGGACTTCTCCGTTTACATGTGTAGAAACTGAGAACCTCACAAGACAGAGGGTAGTACATGCCAACCTCTCCAGACAAGAATGTGCCATGCACATAACTAGCTTTATCCCTGCTGGACCCACCCTGCAGTAGAGTTCTTGCTTAGACCTCTGCTGTCAGACAGAACAGGGATGAAGAGCTGTTTTTCATGGCCTGACTCACTTGGATGGTGAAAATCAGGGCAATTGACACCTGCTCCTCTTTCATGTACTTCAGCCTAGGACAGATCAACAGTATCACTCTTCATCAGAATGCCTCCATTGCAACCTAGCTTCTGAGCCTCTGGGTTTCTGGAGACCATGTTGGGGTCTCTGCATCACATTCAGTAGCTTAGTCATCAGACAAGCTGATAAAGGAATGAAGACTCATAGGGACAGAGCATCTGCACATACTCAGGGTGAAACAACTTTTCTAGATAAAAAAAATCTAAAACCTCTATAGAAATGGATTTTTGGACCCTAGGAGACTGTTGGAAATTTGTTGGGGGAATGATGTGTGGAAGCCTGCACTAACTATCTCATATCTTCTCAGTCTTATGTCTACACAGCAGCCTCTTCAGAACCTCCCAGCTTCCTATCTGGAATCTCCTAGGTTCCCAAAAAGAGAGTGAGATGGTCATTGAGAAATCTCAGTTCAATTCTAAATCTCTGCATAGGAGACCCTCTTTTCATAACCCTCCCTTGGATAAACTTAATCCTATCCCAGCCACAAGCTTCCTAGTTCAATTATCCTGGATAACCCTTGTAGCCCACAAAAGTCAGGATCACCTCACCTGAGAGTGTGACCTCAAAGGGGACACTGGGATATGATAACAGGTAAGGGAATGAGCTCTTAGAAACAAAGCATGTATAAGAACCCCCAAAGACTGAGGTCATAGCACTCATGGAGAATTCTGCCTTATATTGTAGATCTGGAGACATTGATCTTTGTGGCAGGTAGGGATGGGCTACACCTTCCTTGAACAGAAAGAATGTGTCCACTGGGACTGATGATTGACACAGTAGAGTCACATTCTCTCCTGAGGACACAGTAGTCCCTGGATGCACTGAGAGAATGGGTGTAACAGGGAGGTATCCTAAAGATAAAAAAAAATAAGTGACTGAAGGGCTACAGTCATTGCTCTAAGCCCCCCTCTTTCAGAACCTAGTCTCTATATTGTAAAAGACAGTCCCTTCTCGACTCTCTTGCTCCTAGACCTGTTGATCCCTGACATGTTCATCATCATCTTGATGAATCCCAGGTCTCCGCCCAACTGAGTTTGTGCCAAGATGGGTCCATACTAAATGCACTACATTGCTCATCTGTGATCAGGATGTCCAGAGGGTCACTGGGGGCTGACCACTCATAGGAGAAGCTGCTTGCACCAGACCATCTATACTGACTGCCAATGGAGAAATTCACAGAGCTTAAGGTGAAGCTGGCATGAAAATTTCCAGCCTGGCGCTGATGAACATAAACTTGAATGAGGTCACTTCCCCCCTCTTTCAACAGAGCAAATCTGTCGTAACTCATCTCAGAGGAACACTTGAGTATCAGGTTCTATCCAGGGGCCAGGACAGGGACTTTTGGGGTCAGCAAAGTGGGCTTCCTTGACAGCCCTGGAAGGAAGAGAGTCAGGAAGTCATCCACCTGGCTCTTGTTACATTCCATATCCCACTCTACTTTGAAAGTGCCATGGCCTTTTCTACTCTGGGCCTTAGGAATCAAGAGATACCTTCATCCATCATGGCCTCAATCCCAACTTGAGGCAGCAGTACTAATGACAAAGAGTGTCTGGTGTCACTCACTTGTGGGAATGTGGACTTTCTTACCTGAAACATGTATCTCCAGAGGGTCACTGCCCTCTGACCACACATTTGAGATATTTATATAGTTTCCATAACATCGGAAGGGCCCATGTGTGCTGGATGTCACAAGGATCAGAGGAAACAGAGCCTGGGACTGTCCAGTGTGTAATAACTTTGCCTTTTGGGACCTGGAGAACTTCAGATCAGCACCAGTCAAAATGAACCCATCATATCCTTTGGATGAGATACACTGAAGGGTCACATTCCCACCTGATGTCACCACAGGGCTGGGCAAAGCTGACAGAGTAGGTTTGCCATGGTAAACACCTAGGAGAGGAGCAGGCAGTCTGTCAAGTGAAACACAGCCAACAATGAATCCGGCAGATGGGCTATGGAAGCACACATACCGAAGACTATTTCCTGTGGACAGAGGCAAAGATTGTGACACTTAGTGTCCTCTCACCTGTCACCACCAGCTCCAGGGAGTCACTGTGCTCTGTCCACCCTGTAGATTCATAAGAGTAACAGCGATATTGCCCTGCATGATGCTTTTCCATGGATGCTATGGAGAACGTGACCTTTTTACCAGGACCTTTTGGAATCTGACTGAACCAGGGTGCTGGGCTTCCTTCTTTATACAGGAAATATATTTGGGTTTCCTTGGTCCCCTCACACCAGATGGTCACAGGATTCCCTGTGCTGATGACAGAGCCTGGCTCAGCCCAGAGGGTGGGTTTCTTGAGGTTTCCTATAAGAAAGTAGGTGGGAAAGGGGTGGGACTTTGAGCAGTTTCACAGTAAGAGTCAAACATGCTACTGATCTTGAAATGTACTCCTACATAGCAAAAGGACCAGTAATGTCATGGGAAGACTCAATCTCATGAGCCTCCCAAGATCTCATCTCACTATGTTCTCCCCTCACTTTCTGTACACTGACTCCCACAGTCTGTAGCACAAACCTTAAAAGGCCTTATTAATAAAAACAAACTTGGTGCCAGTTATTGGGGTGAATGCTAGAAGATCAGAGAAACAGAAGAAGCCACAGCCACCTCACCTTGCCAGTTCCTCAGCTGAACTGTTGCTCAAAAGCCTAAAAGCTTAACCACACTCTAGTTCCTCGTCCTCATGCGTTAAATGCCTTTCTGCTTCCTTCCATCACTTCCTGGGATTAAAAGCTCTTGTTACCATGCCTGACTGTTTTCAGTGTGGCCTTGAACTCACAGAGATCCAGGCAGATATCTACCCCTGGAATGCTAAGATTAAAGATGTGTGTGCCAGAATTTTCTGGCCTCTATATCTAGTGGCTGTTCTGTTCTCTGACCCCAAATAAGTTTATTAGAGTGCACAGTATTTTGGGGAACACAATATCACCACATTTCCCCTTTTTGTCTAAAATTTAAAAAAGCTTATAACTAATACAAGAAAAACTATATCCAATTGCTGTGGGATGTTCTGTATGGCAAATGTGTTGCTGATTAGTCAATCAATAAAACACTGATTGGCCATTGGCTAGGCAGGAAGTATAGGTGGGACAAGGAGGAGAATAAAGCTGGGAAGTGGAAGGCTGAGTCAGAGAGACACTGCCAGCCGCCAGAATGAGAAATAGCATGTGAAGATGCCGGTAAGCCACGAGCCATGTGGCAAGGTATAGATTTATAGAAATGGATTAATTTAAGCTATAAGAACAGTTAGCAAGAAGCCTGCCACGGACATACAGTTTGTAAGCAATATAAGTCTCTGTGTTTACTTGGTCAGGTTTGAGCGGCTGTGGGACTGGCAGGTGAGAGATATTTGTCCTGACTGTGGGCCAGGCAGGAAAACTCCAGCTACATCCAATAAGTATATACGATATACACAGTCAAGAATTACATTCACAATGTCTAGTCCATTAACATTTGACAGATTCAGACGAAAAAACTCTGTTAACATATAACAATGTCCAGTCCATTAACATCTGACAAATTTAGACAAAAAAATTTCATTGCTTATCATGTTTAAAACAAGTAGTTTCTTTTTAAAAGTAGATTCAATAATCTCCCTTTTTATTTTATCATATCCAACAGTCTGCATGTTGTGTCAATTATCTCAGGATCCCTGGATTCTCAGACATATCACACATTATGGTCTCGACAGGAAACCTGTGTCAGCTGCAATGTGATACCACAGAGAGTCTGAAGCTTCCTCACCTGAGACCAGGAGCTCCAGGGGTTCGCTCCCTTCTGACCACACCTGAGAATTATTTGTGTAATAGCCATAGCATCTGAACCTCCACCTCTGACTAGAGGTCACTGGACCCACTGGAAACTCAGCCAGGAACATCCCAGTGTGTGTGTATCTTGAGTTCTGAGGGATGGAAAACTTCTGACCATTCTTAGTTAAAATGAACCAGTCGTATCTCTGACTTGAGGTACAAGAGAGGGTCACAGACCCTCCTAAGTTTACAATAGGATTTTGTGTGGTTGACAGGGTGGGTTTCTTGTAGACTCCTAGAAGAAATACACATGGAAAATTAAAGGGGATCACAAAGCCTGAATTGTCCCCACCCCATGGCTGTCCTTTGATGGGAGGTACTGTTAGTGCAGATTTTTCTTGAGAGTGACTTCTAGGGTTAAGATTTCTGGTGTCTTCTCACCTGTCACCACCAGCTCCAAGGTGTCACTGCTCTCTGACCATCCCGCAGAGGTGTAAGTGTAACAGTGATATCGTCCTGCCTGCACTTGTGTCACAGATGGAATGGGGAGTTTTGCCTCTTTGTTGTGGGCTATTTGGGCCTGTTGGTCCCAGGGTTCTGGGCTTCCCTCTTTATATATCACATAGATGAGGGTTTCTCGGGTCGACTGGCACCAGATGGTAACAGGACTCCTTGAGGTAATCACAGAACCAGGATGAGCCCATATGCGGGGTTTGTGAAGGGTCCCTGCAAAGAAGTAGAAAAAAAGGAGCATCTGTTAGGAGAATATCACAGAGAAGGTCACCTTTGCAGGGGCATGTAATCTGATCTGCAATAGCAAAAGGATACGTAAAGATCACACTTTTCTATAGCTCTTAGGTTCTACTGTTACTATCAACCCTGGTTTCCACACCTCAAGTCTAGCTTTATCACACGTTTTATGACATTGGGTTCAGTAGTCTTGGCTCCTATTCACCCACCACATACCAGTTCCTTTCCTGGGATCCTGTGTCAGTTGCAATGTCCATGAAAAGCCTAGGGCTCCTTACCTGAGACCAGAAGCTCTAAGACACTACTGGGAACTGACCACAGCTGGGGGTTGCTCAAGGAATACCCATAGCATGTGAACCTCCACCTCTGGTTGGGGGTCACAGGACCCACTGTGAACAGGGCTCCAAATAACTCAGGGTGTATTTTCTGTGAGGGCAAAGCCGGAAAGAACTTCTCATCTTCCTTCATCAGAATGAACCTGTTATATGGATGTTGTGACACACATTGAAGGGTCACATTTCCTCCTGCAGTCACCACTGGGCTGGGAAGGGCTGACAGGGTGACACTGCTCTGGTGAACTCCTAAGAGAGAAGAGGGCAAGAAACATACATGAATTTGTAGTGTGTTTGAACAGACCTTCAGATCAACTCAACCTAACAACAGTTCCCAAATCCACTTCCTGGCACCTATCTGTCCACACACAAAGGCTTTATTTATTAATTTCAATAACGTTTGCTGTATCCTCATATGCCCATATGACCAATATGAGAAGCATTTTCCCCTCTTCACATATTTAAAAGGGGGAACCTACTGTGAACATACTACTTTCCTCAAGGCAGATGCTGGGGTTGTAGAGGGGTCCTCTCACCTGTCACCACCAGCTCCAGGTAGTCACTGCGTTCTCTTTTGCCATTGGGGCTCTTATATTCACACCTATATCGGCCTGCATTGTACCACTCAACTGTTGAGATAGAGAATTTGGCCAAGTTCTCGGTTTCTATAAGTGTTGTTGGTAACAAGCAATCTGGACTTCCTTCTTTGCAGAGACGGTATTCCTTGGCCTCTAAGGGCCCTTGACAGAAGAATGTCACTTGGTTTCCAGTCGTTACCACATTTCTTGGAACTGCTCTAAGTGTAGGTTTAGAGAAGCCCCCTGCAAGGAAAATGACAGTTGGTTCCCCAGAACTTCCTCTCAGATATGAGCTCTCAGACCCAGGACATTCTCAGGCACCCCCAGCATCAGCCCACACCTGTTGTTCTCCATCTGCTCTGTTCAGGAGTTTCCTATGGTCCCCACAAATGATGTTCAACCTGGGACAGCTGTGAAGACACTCACCTGCCAATGCCGGGACCCAGAGGCCCAGATGACTCAGTGCTGCAAAAGAGATACCTGTGTTTGCACTGAGATATCAGAAGGCCTCCACTTCCCAGCCACCTGAGCTGCTGAGACTTCCTGAGGGCACAAGGCATGGCTGTGGGGTGGATTCCCTCTCAGACAAGAATTCTCCCTCCCCATCTTGGCATCTCACCAACACACAGCAGGGCTGTGAGTAAAGTTGTCATGGCATCGTTCAGTTGCCACAAGTTTGCAGATAGTTGGTCCCTTTGCCAAATGGAAAGAAGCAAAGTGTCTGGGCTATGAAGGCTGTCTTCTCCTTCATGTCATGAAGATGTAAAAGGAGCAGCCCTTGAGGAAGAGGAACTCCTCTTCTCAGACATGTGATGCTTCTTTCCCCACTGCTGTGGTGGGTTGGGCTACAGAATACGTGGCTTCTGCTCTTTCTGGTCCTTTCGTTTTTGTGTTTGTTTCTGAGACAGAATCTCTTGAATCTCATGCAGTTTTCAGTCTTCTTCCTCTTATCCCTCAGCTTCATGTGGACTGGGATTACAAACCAAATCTGATTATAAACATCCACTTCTGCCTGAATGCTCCCAGTGACCTCGGACCAAGACATAACACAAAATGAAGCTGATGCAGGCCCCTCACCTGAGGGTGCTCGGAGCTGGTTGGTCTTTTTCTCTCAGAGCTTCTTCTTGGTTTTTCTTGACTCCAACAGCCAAACCAAACTCATGGATGGTTTCCTATCCAGCCCTAGAGATCCTTTGTGAACGTTGTGAAAACCTTTCCTGGAGAAACATGAACAAAGCCTACTCATCCCAACTGTGACAGAAACAGGCAGGACTCCACACAACCCTCATTGATGAATCAACAAGTTATATTAGGGTTCCTTAGAAGCATGTGGTCAAATGTCTTTGCTTTTGTGTTTTGTTTCTGTTTGTGTGTTGAGAAAGGATCTTACAATGTATTTCTGGCAATCCCAAAACCCACTGTATAGACCAGACCAGAACCACAAAACAGTTTCAACTCCCAACTGTTGAGCTCAATGTGCTCCTCTATGCTAAGCAATATTTGAAACTTTCCAGAGGTTATATCTCTGATAAAAAAGCTTTGCCTGAAACTTTTAACTGCCTCTAGTTCTGAGAGGAGAGAAGTAGCCTCAGGACCCTCTACACTATAAAAGAATACTGCTGTGTGTAATCAGAGCTACAGAGACTTCAACAGGCCCAAAGTCATGTCCTGCCTGGAAAGCAGTGACTCACAAGGGAAGATACAGGTTGATTCTCCTGGGAGGATAAAGCAGAAGGGCCACACTGAGCACCTGACCTATCAGTTCTTCTAGATGAACACAGAGGAAACTACAAGGTTGTCTTAGGTTTTCTATTGTTGTGATGAAATACTATGACCAAAAGGCAAATTGGGGAGGAACATGTTTATTTGGCTTACACTTCATCAATGCTCTGGCTATGTTCATCACTAAAGAAATTCATGACAGGAACTCAAACAGGGCAGGATCCTGGAGGCAGGAGCTGATGCAGAAGCCTTGAAGGAGAACTGCTTACTTGCTTGCTTTCTCTGGCATGCTCAGCCCAGCTTCTAATAGAACCCAGGACCAGCAGTCCTGGAATGTCACAACCCACCATGGTGTCCTTCCCCCATTGATCACTAATTGAGAAAATGCCCTGCAGCTGAATCTCACTGAGGCATTTCCTCAGCTGAGGCTCGTTCTTCTGATGACTCTAACATGTGTCATGTTGACACAAGAAACCCAGCCATATACCTGACCGCTTGTAAATAGACACACAAACACATCACTATTAAGCCACATCCTATCCTTTCTTATTCATCACCAACATCTTAAATAACTTTAAAAGTCTCACAGTCTTTACATACTCAATACTTAAAATTTCGTCCCTTTAAAAAAAACTGTTCTCTTCAAATCCAAAGTCTTTTTAAATTCAAAGTCTCTCAAGAATGGGCTCCAGTAAAATAACTTCAATAGGGAAGAGTCAGGACACAGTCTTGATCAAATCAAGGCAAAATAAAAATTGGAACCCTCCAGTATCTGGGGTCCATTCACATTGTCCTGTAATCCTCCAAAGGGCTGGGGTCACTCCTCTGGCTCTGACCTCTGCAGTACACACAGCTCATTTTCTAGGCTCTGACTGGCTCCTCTCCACAGCTACTGTTGTTCTTGGTGGTCATTCCCTTGCACTGGCATCTCCAACCCACGGGACTTCTCTGCTGCAACTGGGCTGCACTTTCACCAAAATCCTCTCATAGGTTCTCCTCATCGTGCCAAGTCTCGAATTCTTTGCAAGACCCCTTCAGTCCTGAGCCTTCAAATGCCATTTAAGGTGCACCGTAACCAATGGCCTCTGCTTTGCGCTCACAGTGTCAGTCCTCAGCTGATCTTCATGACCCCTTCATGACTTCAAAACCAGTACCACCTGGATGACTCATACACATTATCCAGTCAGTTTGCCTCACTATGTACAACCTTGGCTGCCTCTAGAACACAGCTTCTCTGTGATCTCAGGAAATACTTCCAGGCAGATTTCACCTCAGTGATGCTGGTCTCTTCTTAATCTCTGCTAATATCTTAGCTCCAGCTGACCAGCCTCTATTTTCCCAATATCATAAAGTTTTTACTTTAGTTAATTCTGGTTTCTTGTTAATCACCACTGATTCTTCAGCTCTAGCTAACCCCAACCACAGGATTGTTTAGTAGTTCTGGTATCTTGTTAATCACCAATGATTCTTCAGAACAGGCTAACCAGAACCACAGGATTGCTTTAGTAGTTCTGGTATCTTGTTGATCATAGTTGATTTTTCAGTTCAGCTAACCAGAACCACATGTTCTTAATTCAAAAATAGAAAATGGCCCTCACATTTTCTTTAAACTTCCCTCTGATATTTTAAAAGCCAATCAGGCCTCCATTTTTTGCACTTCTCTCAATATTCTTATCTTCCAAGTTTCCACATAACATCCTACAGAGGTCTCTCAAAACTCAATGGCACTTCTAGTCGAAAGTTACAACGTCCTTCCAGAATCCTCCCAAAAATATGGTCAGGTCTGTCACAGCAATACCCTACTACACTGGTACTAATTTGTCTTAGTTAGGGTTTCTATTGCTGTGATAAAAACACAAGGCAAGTTGGAAAGAAAAGTGTTTATTTGGCTTACTCTTCAGAATTGCTGTTCATTACTAAAGGAAGTTAGGATAGGTACTCAAACAGGACAGCTTCCTGGAGGCAGGAGCTGATGCAGAAGCCATGGAGAGGTGCTGCTTACCGGCTTGCTACCCATGGCTTGCACAGCCTACCTTCTTATAGACCCCAGGACCAGCAGCCCAGTGAAGACACCACCAACCATGGGCTGAGCCATCCCCCTTGATCACTAATTGAGAAAATGACTTACAGTTGGATTTCATGAAGGCATTTCCCCAACTGAGGTTCCATCCTATAATGACTCTAACTTGTGTCAAGTTGACACACAAAACTAGCTGGCATACAGGGAATTGAAGAAGGAAACATGGTATTCTCATGGTTCTGTATTTGATACTATTCTGCTAAAAAAATCTCCTATAGAATCATTGGACTTTTCTTACCAAAATACATGAATTTTTATAGGTACATCATCTCAGCATTCTTACCACTTTGGTATTCCTAGTTCATTGTTCAGGATCCTGCTGGATTTTATGAAGGTTAATTTTGATTTAATGCCTGTTTATAAACAAATGTCCATTCCAACTTATATGTTGTTAGCATCTCAACTATGAGCTACAGCATCATGCTGACTGTCTAATATCAGTGTTATTTTTACCACATTTATGGGTTCAGGATGTCTTGTGACTCGGAGGAGCAAGGATTGGTTAACTTTCAAAGTGTTTTACAATGTACATGGAAACAAAGTGAGTTTGGTTATGTAAATGTTTTGGTTAAAGGGGCCAGGACTGCTCTTCTGTTTTGTAAAGTGTTGCAGGCAAATGGATGGATCTAGAAAAAATCATCCTGAGTGGGGTAACCCAGACTCAGAAAGACAAACATGGTATGTACTCACTCATAGGTGGATACTAGATGTAAAACAAATGATGACAGGACTGTTACTCAAAACTCCAGTGAGGCTACCTAGTAAAGAGGACCCTAAGAAAGACACAGGGATTGCCAAGCAACAGAGAAATGGATGAGATCTACATGAGCAAACTGGTCGTGAGTGGGGTTTAATGAAGGGCAATGGTCCAGGAAAGAGAGCTTAGGGGAGCAGGAGATCCCGGTGGATCAAGAACAGAGAGCGAGAACCAGGAAAGAGATACCATGATAATTGAATACTCCATGGGAATAGGAAGAAGCAAAGTGCTAGAGAGGTCCCCAGAAATCCACAAAGATACCTCCACAATAGACAACTGGCAATGGTCGAGAGAAAGCCCAAACTGATCTACTCTGGTGATAGGATGGCCAAACACCCTAACTGTCATGGTAGAACTCTCATCCAATGACTGATGGAAGCAAATGCAGAGATCCTCAGCCAAGCCCCAGGTGGAGCTCCAGGAGACCAATCAGTGAGAAAGAGGAGGGATTGTATAGGCCAGAGTTGTTGAGACCTTGACTGGAAAAAGCACAGGGACAAATAGCCAAACTAGTGGAAACACATGAACTATGAACCAATAGCTGAGGAGCCCCCAACCTGATCAGGCCCTCTAGATAAGTGAGACAGTTGATTAGCTTGATCTGTTTGGGAGGCCTCCAGGCAGTGGGCCAGGGACCTGTCCTTAGTGTATGAGCTGGCTGTTTGGAGCGTGGGACCTATGCAGGGACATTGCTCAGCCTGGGTGAAGGGAGGAGAGGACTGGGCCTGCCTCTACTGAATCAACCAAGCTGAGGTGAATCCCCAGGGAAGTCCTTGCCCTGGAGGAGATAGGAATGGGGGTGGTTTAGGGGGAGGCCGAGGGGAGGGCAGGAAAGGGAGGACAGGGGATATGTATGTAAAATTAAATTAAATTAAATTATAAAATAATAAAAAAAGTAAAGGTCAACAAACTACACTCATGAGCTGAAAAGTAGAACTGAAAACTAAGTTCCCCAAATGTAGAACGTTCTGTGTTCAAGGAAGGAGATTAACATTATGCAATCTTTTGACCTACACTTGTGAAGGATCATTGCAGGGAGACTTCCTCCTCGTGGTTGGTGGGGTAGGGGCAGGACTCCAAAAGATTGTTAGTAGCTATGCTCTATCTGCAAAGGGGTACTGGGATAGCTTGTCTTGCTATCTGTTGCCCACATTGAGAGCAAAATAGATAAATTCAAGCTTATATCCACAGG